CTGTTAGCTTGTCACTTGGTCTTTATTCACACTTGTAGTTTCCTTATTTTTGTTCTCTATTGTACTTAAAAGTTAAGGTTGGTACAAACTAATTTAAAGTTAGTATATATATATATATATATATATATATATATTTTTTTAAGGCCTTGCCTTCTTTTAAATGGCTGTTTCCTCACACCAACACCCCTGCAATCACCCGCTCAGCAGGATTAGCATTTGACTTACGTTGCAGGAGCACATAGGAAAAATGGAGCACTTAATTGGAATTTCACAGTGATTTCCACATAAACCAGCTTAAACAAGGTGTATTTATGTATAGAAATTAGGAATTGACTAATCTGTGTAAATCCACGTTGTGTCAATGAGGTGAAGAAATGCTCCACAGAACTTTTAAGCCTGGTCATGTCACACACGTGTAGTTCTTCAGCCATGAGAGTTGCTACTGTAGACAGCATGGCATTTTAATTACAGCTTTATTCTATTAAGACAGGGTAGTATTTAGCAATATAACACGCCGCTCAATTAAAGCATTTCCTGGTTAAGTTTAACCCTAAGATCATCATATTTCTCAGAACCTCATTTATCACAAATGAATTTAATTGAACAGTTGTTGCAAGTGAACCATTCACTTTTTTATCCTTTTTTTTTTTTTTTCATTTTTTGGGTTTTAGGGTTAGCCTGAGAAACATTTTGGCTAGAATGGTAAAACCTGTAATTTGTACATAACCGTCATTGTTATTTTAATAGTATCCCTAGCATATTTATTTTCTATGCTTGACATGGATTAAAACGTTTCTTTTTGTGTCTGTTTCCAACTATCGTGAGACATGTTTAAATGTATGCGTGTAAACACAACCTTGCTGAGCCTTTTTCTTTTACCTCAGTTTAAAAAGTGCCAAACAGCACAATAGCCGTAACTTAATTATCCACAGAGTGTCTGTTTTGGAAGTGAAATGAGTTAGTTGACAGAGATGCTTGAGAGTGAACCTAATGAGGCAACTTTTATACATGGAAATATCTTTCCATTTTTCAAAGTGCTTCATATATTCATAGAAATATTGGAAAATATAACTCTGCCTGAAGAATGCCATACATTTGTCATGTCATTTAAGATGCTGAATGCAAATAAAATGACCGATCATTTCTAAGGGGGTTTTAGTCAATATTAGAACAACTTATGATAACAATGAAACTTTTCAAAAAGTTTAATAGAACTTATTGAACACCAGCGTGGGGCTCCTTTTCATACTTTGCCGTATTTTCAAAATAGCATTAAGACAGTTTATTATTTGAAAATCCAGATATTAAAAAGCTAAATGCATTGATGTTTACAACTTTCTATTGTATTATAGAAAAGACCCTGCATTATGATTAATTTACAATTTGAAGGCATTAAGGACCCTGAGACCATAAAGTTCTTATTGGGCAATATACTTATTTTGATAAACCCTTCAAATATATTGGTAAAATAAACATGTGCTTATCAATTGGTTAATATATGAGTCTGAAATTACTGTGTTGTTGAAAAAGTCATGTATTTGTGTGAAAATAATATTCACTGTATGTGACTAAGAAAAGAAAGAAGTTGCCACTGAAAATGAAGGGAGAGTAATAAGAATATTTATTTTCAAGTTACGTTCTAGATTTCAAGGTCATCTGTTACAGAAGATCCTATGTTTTAAGGTGTCTCAGTGGGCAGAGAAGGGGTTGATTCCTGGTTTCCTGTTTCTTAGTTTTAAGATCATTCATTCATTTATTGAAAATTTATTGACTGTTAAGAATGTGCCAGCTGCTTTGCTGGGTATGCCATGGTAAAAGCAAGTTACCCACTTTCAGAAAAATCTCACCCATGTTTACATTGTATTAAACCCCACTATACTGAAGGACATGGTCCAAAGCCTGGCATATAGTAAATGGTGAATAAAAAGAGCCAGTAATGTTCTGCTGAAATCTTTTATAGCTATTTTTCATGTACTGAGGAACAGAGTTTAAATTTTATTTACAAGAGTAGTGATAACTATTCCATGTCTATGTATTGAAAATATTCTAAATAGCATATTTTAATAAAATGAGCAAAGCAGAATTACATGGCAACTCTGAATATTATAAACACAAATGAGTTCCAATTAACTAGGTATCACTTGAGGTAAAATGTTATTACTATTCTCAAATACCTTTAAACATGTAAAAGTGATCAGAAAAAAACATTTTGTATCATGTAACTTCTCAGTAAATTAACTGTTATCAATTTTGAGACCCAACTTACCTATGGATTTCAAAGAACCTTCTGAGAATAAACAGTAGAGTAATATAATCTGAAAAAAAGGAAAATTCTGCACGTAACATCCAAATTGTTTCTTGTTAAGTATTATCTCTAGAGCTGTGCTGTTTCGTGCCTCTAGACACACGAGTCTATTTAAATTCAAAATAACTTAAGAATTCAGTTACCCAGACATACTAGCCACATTTTAAGTGCTTGGTGGTGCTCGGTGGTGTGGCAGGTAGATACCATATAGGACCGTGCAGATGTAGGACGTCTCCACCACCACAGATGGTCCTCCTGGACAGTGTTGCCCTAGGATGTTTTAAATAAAGGAGTATTGGGTATTTACGACTAATAACCACACAGAAAATGAACTATTACGTTTGGTTTTGATCATTTGAGTGTTTACCACCACAGTGTGTCCAAATCTTGGTTAAACTATCCAGCAAGCTCTTTTACGGATAAAGACTACTTTAAAATGACTTTGATTTCAGTAAAAGCTGTAACTTAACTCAAGGCTCAGAAGGTGTAGTGCTTTAACTCCGTGACTGTGGGGAAGCTGGAATTTTGAAGACTGTCTGAAAGAAACGGCTAATCAATGACATCAATGCTTTTCTCTGCAGTGCCTCCCAAACCTCCCTTTCTGAGCGCCCCGCCGTTCTGCTCGGCGTGCTGCGGGGGGTCCTGTCGGCGCCCTGCGGCCCCCACTGCTTTTCCAAGTAAGTTTTTAATGCTTCATCAGCAATGCCTCAGTTATTCTGTAAACCAAAGCAGCAGGATTTAATGGGCTCTGGAAAACTGATTTGGTAATGCAATGGCAAAGAGCTAATTCCTCACTAAAAATCACAGCGGTCCTATTCAGGAGGTTTCCAGAGATTTATCAAACCTCAGCACACTGAGCGATTGTGAGCCCTTTCTGATGGCATTGAAACCCAGGGCTGACACACCACGGAAGGCGACTTGTTTTCCACTGGATATAAAAGATCTCAGAGGGACCAGTTTGGCTCTTTCTGAAATGTGTGGCTATACTCAATTAAAGAAGGAAAAAGAAAAGAAGGCAGGATAAGAGATGGTGCTCTGTAGAATTTCCATTCAGCTGAAAATGCGACACAGAAAGTCACCAGGTGTCCACAGAAAATGATTAAAAATTGTCACGATTGGAAAAGGAGATAAATACCTTCTCTTCTGATCTTGAAGAAAGCCAACCGAGGTTGTAGGAAATATTTTCAAGAGAGCTTTTCTTCAAACATTACACAATTTGAATAGTGCCCGGGGAAGAGGGAGGACGAGACTTTTCAAAAACTTGCGGAGTGTGCGCGCGCACACACCAGCAAAAGGAAAAAATGTCTAACTGAAAATAAAAATAGAATCCCCCTTGATCTTGAGATTTCTAGGTCAAATGAGAATCTGCAGGCAGGGGATTCGAGTTTATGATAAAGAAGCCCAGTGGAGGGGTACATGCATTTCAGCTTCCCCGAGAGAAAACATTGATTTGTGTTAACAGCTCTGTCAGGTGAGGAGTGAAACAGGAGAGTCAGGCCAAAGTCTGGGGTGCTGGCACTGCTGAATTCAGATCCCTGCTGCCTCTCGCCGTGCGTTTTATGAATGCTCCGGGAGAGCAGTTGCTCACCAGAATGATTCCTGACAAGTGAGGCAGCAAATGCTGGCCGTTTAATGAGCTGCAAGCTTCTGGGCATCTCTTTAGGGGGCCGGTACTTTCCCACAGAGCACTTTACACGGCTGGGGCCGGCCACAATGGGTGACAGGCCCGTGACCAATCGTCACTTTCACTTGACTCATCCACACGCGACCTCACCACGATTTTTCACTGTGCGGGTGAACTTTAGGAACCATTTCACAGGGAGAAGGCCTGGGCAAGGGTCAGTCGCCCTTTTGTATGGTCATAAAGCGCAGCCCTGTGTGTCGGTCTTTTCTCCTGTCTCACATTCCAAGTGAATTTCTGGACACCCTTTAAAGCACTTGACAGAAAAATAAAGCAGTGAATGAAACTGACTTTTATAGACTCATTCTAGCTCATCTTCCCATATAACCCTGTCCACCTGAAAAGGGGGTTTAGTGGACGAGCGGAGTGTATACAGGACTGGCTGAATACATAGGGCCCTTTATCCACTGTGGGGGTTGTGTATTAACCAGGACGGACACACCACTATTTCGAAAGTGACCTATTAATTGTCCGTTTAACTAGAATGTATTGATTCAAATAGAAAAATAGAAACCATGACTAAACCTGTTACTCGCCCCTTCAAGGTGGTCTCCTGTGAGGGTAATTGAAAACTGTTGTGCAAATTAAGGAGACATTTATCACCCTATATGAGAGCAGCAGGAAAAGACTGCAGGAGAAGAGACTTAGAAGCCAAGCATCTGATACCTCAGTGTGGCGGCATCTCTGTGGAATTAAATCTTTAATGTGGTATTCCAGGGGTGGAGATTGAAAGAGGTCCCATCCATGCCTAATTTCAGTTATCGCACCTTGTTTAATACTGGTCTTTTACTTTAGAAAATCTCTGGCGATGGAGATTAGGTAAGTGGCAGTGGACCAAAAAATTCCGTGTTACGAGGTGGACATTCATGTATGTGTGTGTGTGTGTGTGTTCATTTTAAACTAGGGTTTTAATAAGAGCTTCTAAGCCTTAAAAGGATACAAATGCCCAGGGCAGTTTAATAAATAAGAGTACATAAAAGCAATTCCAAAGTCATTTCCTAGATAACTTCATCTTCTCATTTACTTGAAGAAAATCACTCTAAGCAAGTCTCGTTTTTCTCCGCCGGCTTCTCAGCCCTTCCCACTTTATGCCTTTGACCATAACTCTTGTCACTTGTGATGTCTATCCCTGGAGGCTTCCAAAGTCCTGTATTTATCTTTTTTGTTTAATTAAACAGACAAGGGGAGAAGCAGCAGAGCTCAGAGGAAGGATGGAGAATGCTGTGCCTGGTTTGCCTCCATTTCTAAGTTGGCATTTTAAGACAGCTTAGAGATGCCACAAGTGTTCTTAAGAGACACTGGCATCTCATTAGTTATAAATCTGAAATTAATTTCCTATTTTCTTATTTACAGTGTTCATTGCATTGGCAGCTAATAATAAATGAAATGGTGAATTTATGCTGTCAATAAAGAATTTTATGTAAATAACCATGATACCAAGAAACAGTTCCTAAGGCTTAGATCTGCACAGTAATCTTTTGTATTTAAGGCATTTACTAGATTTTCTTTTCTTCTTCTTTTTTTAATAATAAGAATGATTTTACACCCAAGCATTTAAGTTTTTTTTCCATTGTACAAAATAAGGAAAATGAACTGTCCAAGTAATTTTGTATTAGGTTTCAGTGTGGACAGTCAAAATTAAGGTTTATACTAAAAATTTTAACAAGCTATAAAATCAGTGGCCCTCATCATTGTTTCACAATATTGACTTCACTCTTTCTAAAAGCGTCGAATCAGATCAACATGTCGGTAACTAGCAAGCAAAACAGCATTTTGAATCTTAACATGATTCACTTGTTTAAAATTGATTAAGTTTTTCTTGTTAACCTTTTAGATTTATGATTGACTTGTTGCAATGTGGAGACAGTCATTCATCCAGTGTCCTTCTCACAAATAATAAATAGTTTAATGAGCTATTTAAGCACAGTCCTTACTGTGGGGGAAAATTAAAAAGCAGTGGTAAAAGCTCTCTCCTTCCCCCAAGCAGGGTAGGAAAATCTTTGATATTATATCCAGAAGGTTCTTTTCAAACGAACACATTGTTCGGCTAAAATAAAATGAAAAGTTGTAGAAATTATGCAGAGGATGACCTTAAAAAAAGACAACCTGAAAAAGTATAGGAGTCTTAATTATGTAGACTAGCTCACTGAATTAATCAGACCATTATTTCCTTTTGTCTTTGATTCCCCAACTCGAATTTGGCCTTTCAAGAATTTTTATCCATTAAAAGACAAAGTTTAAATTTGGAGCTGCGTTATAAAAGGACATATTCTGCTATTCAGTGCTCTGCCTTTTTCTTGGGAGATGAGCTTACCTTTTGCATTTTGAGATCATTTTACTATATTCCCTTTCTTGTTAAAACTTAAAAAAACGTAATATACTGAATTTAGGATTTTGTTGAAGGCAACAGGGAAGAGGCATTTTTAATATTGTAGGTTGCTCCTGTGAGTGACACTGTCAAAGGTGGCAAAACTCTGACAGGTCTTCGTGCCACCTGGCCTGGCTGTGCCCTGTTCCCAGCCAGAGTGGTGAGTGGGTTTAGGAAACTGACCAAGACCCGTGGAAATCCACAGAAGGCTGCCCGAGGGCTTCTTTTATAAGGATTTCTCTTTAGCCCTCTAAGATCTTCAAAAGGATGCAACATTTTGTTCTAACAGAGAAAGAAGCCTAGTTATTTCATTGAAAACATAACTGAGTTTTGTGTGATAAGCAGAATATAGGTTTTGACCTCTCGGTAGTGAAGGGTGGAGTGCCCTCTAGATAAATGACCCTCGGTCAGCCAGGAGGAAGGCTTAAAGGAGTCAGAGACTTGAAGACAAGAGATTTTTCCAAGTTGATGGCTCTATTCAGCAGTTCCACAGTGGCAGTGAAAGTGTTCGAGTAACGCTCCTGCAGTGGAGTTCGCTTCCTCCCCAAGTCACAGGCGGTGGGGGAGGGGGTGGGGAGGGGAGCTGCTTGGTGATATAAGGCGCTTGTCCCTGATCCTGTCCACAGCCCTTGCCTGAACACAACATGAGATCGAAGAGAGCAGCTGATACAGTCCCGATTTTAGATTCTCCAAAGCAGGTGCACACGTACAGTGTAGGGGAGGGGAAGAATCGCCGGATGGGGCAAAGAAGGAAAGGTGTCCTGTTAGCTCGGTCCTCTACAGAGCGACCTGGGGATGTTGAATTGTGCTTTTAGAAATAGAGTACCCAGAGCATGGGAGACAGGAGTCCTGCTGGACTTTGTAGTGGTCAGACTATCCACATCGGTTCAGTTTCAGAGGCCCACTTTAAAAGACTCGTTGACAAATTTGCCAATAAAAAGCCAGGTCAGGAGGTGTCAGCAACTACAGCAGTGAAGGGTCTAAATGGCTGGTCAGAGATTTTTTTTTTAAGGCAATTGAATATGTTTGTCCTGAAGACAAGAAATAATGAGAACATGAGAGTTATCTTCAAATTAGATACACTTTGTTCAGTGTTGATCTGAAGGACAGAATTGGGGCCAATAAGTGGAGTTTAGCGGAAGCTGAATTTGGACTTAATATAAGGGAAACATTTTTAGCAAATCGAATTGTATAATAATGAAGTGTTGTCATAAATACTAAGTGTTGTCCCAACTACTAGATCATATAGAGGGTGAAAGATGGACTTCTAGTTTAAATAGGGCAGGCCAGGCCAATGCTCTATCTCTTCTTTCTAAACCTCAAATCTACAGGAACTACATAAAACACACACATACACAAACAACCCCTGCCACACACACACACACATCCCCACACCTGCAAATAGGAAGGGTGAGGAAGCTCTTCCTGGGATGAAATTGAGAAATCCAGGAAGGATGGGAGACGGGAAGTTACACCTGGATGGGTGTTGTTGCAGAGAAAAATGGGCCCACAGACAGAAACCATCCTCTGTTTGAGGAAAGCTGAGTCCAGGAAGGAGAAACACAGACTCAAGGTTTAAAATAACTTGCATTTGAGGACTAGTTAATGGAGGCTGATGGCATCTCAGC